TTTTAAGGTATCTGCTTTAGTTTCTCTGCATTAAGGGCAACAAATGCTAGTTAATTTTTTTAGGTGTCTTACCTATCCTCACCCCTCCCTTGTGTGTTCTCGCTTTTATCATGTGCTCAAAGTCCAGTCTCCTTGTTGTGTTTTTTTTTTTTTGATTTAATAAAGTTTTATTTTTTCAAAAGCACAGTTGGTTGGATGTGTTCATGCATCTTCACCAGCAGCTGGAAAATCTCCACCCTTAGTATTTCTTGTGTAAATTACTTGAGCTCTGTGCTTTGAAACCAGTTTGATAGGTCCTTAGTAAGGAGATCCTGAAGGGCTGCCCTCGCCAGAGAACTCTGAATCTTCAGTCTCAGAGACCACAGCTGGAGTTTTAAGCTATATTTGGGAACTTCTTTACACAGTTTGTCCTAAGTGGCTTTGTCAAATAGGACTAGGTTGTTGAGCTTGTCCTGAACTTTGCCTTTGGACCACTTCTTGTTGGCCTTGCCCCCAGATTTGTTTACTGTGTCTTTGTCCTTCTTGGCTGACTTTCTGGCATCTTCTTTTCATCCTTGGGTGGCATCGTGAAGCTCAGAGAGCAGCAGCGACCACTGCAGCCTTGCTAAGATGGACAGAAAGGCTGTATTAATTTCTTGTTGCTATAACAAAATACCCAAGGCAGCTTTGGAGATTCAAAGTTCATGATTGAGTGGCTACATTGGCTTAGCCTCTGGTGAGGGCAGCCAGTGGTGGCACATCACGGTGAGAGTGCTTTTAGGAGCAAGTTCACATCTCATACAGAAGCTAAGAGACAAGAGAGTATAGTGCCAGAATTTCTCCTTTTGTTATAGCCCTCTTGTGAAAACTCATAAAAGCTGTCTCATTCCCCCTGTTATCTACTAGACTGTACCTTCCAAAAGTTCCCCTACATCCCATCTCTGGGGACCAAGCCTTTGATCACAGTGGATCCCATGAGACACAAACCATATTTAAACCATAGAGGTATATAATATGTAACTCTCCAAATATATATTTATATAAAACTCTCCTATGTGTGTATATGTAAATATAATATATACAAATGTTTATAATATGTAAATATGTATTTTTAAATATATATAATACATAACTCTCCAAAATGGCTCCCAACTTATACTCCAGTGATAGTCCAGTTAGGGTTTTCTTTTTATCAATATTTCCCACAACATTTGTTAACGTCAAGGTTTTCATCTCTGTCAATTTGTTGGATGTAGTGGTCTCTAGTTTTTTTTTTTAAAGTAACAGTTTTATTGAGAATGGAGACATAATTCACATACAGTATAATTTCACTCACCTAAAGCACACAATTAAATTCTTTTTAGTATATTCACAGAATTGTGCAGCAGTCACCACCACAATTTTAGAACGTTTTGTCTCCCCTAAAAGAACCTGTATACTTCCAGTTTCTTCCCAGTCCCCCCATTCCTAAGCAGTTACTGATCTTTCTGTCTCAAAATATTTTGGAAGCCTCATACAAGTGGAATCATATAATATGTGATCTTTTGTTACTGGCCTCTTTCACTTAGAATCATGTTTTTAAACTTCACCCATGTTGTAGTATGTAACTATACTTTTTATTGTTAAAAATAACATTCCCTTGATATGGGTCATATTTTATCTATTCATATTCATCAGTTGATGGGCATTCAGGTTGCTTCTTTTGGGCTATTTTGAGTTGCTATGAACATTCATGTACAAAAGTTTTGTGTGGACATAGGTTTTTTATTTTTCCTGGGATGTACCTAAGAGGCAGATTGCAGGGTCATCTAACTCTATTATTTTGAGAAACCACTAGAATGTTATCCAAAGTAGCTGTGCCATTTCATATTCCCATTACTAGTGTATGAGGTACTAATTTCCCCACAGCCTCACCAGCACTTGTCATCCTAGCAGGTGTTTAGTGGTATCTCATGGTTCTGATTTACATTTCCCCAGGGACTAATACATGCAGCATCTTTTCATGTCCCTGTGGTCTGTTTGTACTTTGGAGAAATTTGTATTCAGATCTTTTGCTCTAACTTTAATTAATACTTGTCTTCTGTCTTTTTTTTATTTTTTAACTTTTTTAGTACTGGGTTTTGCACTTGCTAGGCTGGCACTCTACCTCTTGAACCACACCCCTAGTCCTTTGTTACTTTTTTTTTGAATAGGGTGTCTAGTTTTTACCCAGGGCTGACTCTGAACTGTGAACTCCTACTTAAGCTTCCCTCGTAGTTGAGATTACAAATGACACCATGTTCATGGTTGAGATGGGGCCTTGCTAACTTTTTGCTCTGACTGACCTCAGACTGCTATCCTCTCAATCACCTCCCAAGTAGCTGCAGTTACAAGCATGAACCACCACACCTGCTGAATTACTTAACTTGTAATTATTGAATTGTAAGAGTTATTTATATAGTCTAGCCAGAAGTGTTTTAATGGATATATACCCGTAATCATAAATATACACATACATAAAATCATATGTGTATGGTTTGCAAATATTTTTTTCCTATTCTGTGGATTTTATTTTTACTTTCTTGATGGTGTCCTAGGAAACACAAAGTTTTTTATTTTTTTTTTAATTTTTATGTTTTGGAGGTCTGAGTTTGAATTTGGGGCTTTGTACTTGCTAAGCAGGTACTCTACCGCTTGAGCCACTCCTCCATGCCCTTTATAAAGTTCAATTTATCTGTTTTAGTTTTTGATACTTGTACTTTTGTTGTCATGTCTAAGAATCTATTGCCAACTTGATATCACAAAGATTTCCACTTATAAGGGTTTTATGATTTTAGCTCTTACATTTAGGCCTGTGATACATTTTAAGTTTATTTTTGTATATGATATGAGATAGGTAAGGTCCAATTCCATTATTTTATATGTGAATATCCAGTTGTTCCAGCCTAGTTCTCAAAAACTTATTTTCCCATTGATTTTGTCTTATCACCATATTGAAAATCAGTTGCTCATAAATGCGAAGGTTTATTTCTGGAATCTAAATTCTTTCTCGCTAATCTGTGTATATGTGTGTATATATATATTTGTCCTTACGTCTGTAACGCAGTTTTGATTACTGTAGTTTTGTAATAATTTGAAGTCATGATGTGCATCATCCAACTTTGTTCTTTTTAAAGATTGTTTTGACTGCTCTCAGTCCCTTGGGTTTTCATATGAATTTATAAAGTCAGCTTGTCAATTTATGCAAAATGGCTATCTTGGAATTATTGAAATCTGTAGATGAATTAAGGGTTAATGAATTTTGTCAAGGGCTTTTTCCGCATCTATTGAAATGATCGTGTGGGTTTTGTCCAATATTCTATTGATTTGGTTCAGATCATAGATCTTTATTATTTGCATTGGTTAATCTTCAGCTGTTAATCTAACCTTACTTTCCTGGAATAGATCCCACTTGGGGACAGCATAGAATTCTTTTTACATGTAGATAAACTCAATTTGCTAATATCTTGTTCAGGGATTTTTGCCTCTATATTCACAAGAGATGTGATTCTTGAATGTTTGTTAGAATTCAACACTGAGTCATTAGTACTTGGGCTTTTCTATGGATTTTCTGATTACTAATTTAATATCAAATGACTTAAAAATCATTTATCTTTGCATAGATGAGGATGATTATGCTTATAGCACAAAAACTCGAAATATGCTCAGCCACAGCTGGAAGACATCTGTACACATTTGTGCATTGGTTAAAATTCCTGGAGTTTGGGACCCTTTTGTGAAGAGTTACGTAGAGGTAAGTGTGTTTTTCATAAGATTGTATTAATTTCATTTTGTCCTAAGGCTGTACAAAGATAGCATGCCTAATCATTATTGATCAGAAGGAAACTAATGGAGAAAATTGTGAGAGGACCAAAAAAAAAACCAATCAATCAAAACAAGAAAAATGGTACATTTCTTTCTTGATCTGAATAGTTTCTGCTTATTAATGTGCGATAAAAGTTACTCTTATTTTCCACACTGAATGACCAGTCATGGTCAAATGTCTATAAAATGCACTGTAATTGTAAATGTCGATTTTACATTATTATTATTGAGCTTAAAAGCAAAAAGATCTTATGATTTGGTGGGAAGTATGTCCCATTATCACAGAATCATTATGAAAGGACGGGATCTTAGCAGTGGACACTAGTAATAAATCTTCAAGATAATTTGCTTCATGAAAATTTGAGTAACAAAGTGTTGATTGTGTTCCTTGGATAACCTCCGAAGCCATATCCTAGTTAATCTCTGAATTACTGTATGAAAATGGGAACAAAGTGAAAGACCTGTAATTGTCACGCACCCTTTGGTGACTGAAGTTATTTAGGGCACTAAGGTCACTGATATTGTATTTTCAGTTGTTAATTTTCCATGCTTTGAGGACTTCTGTTTCTTCTAGGAACAGTTCTTATATTGAAGTTACCACATTTGTTTTAGCAACAAGATATCTTAAGGAAAAAATGCAACTCATGTAGACCTATGCTATAAGTGATCTTATTCTGTAGAAATTGTAACAATGCTATTGAAAGCAAAAATTAGCATTACCTTCATTCCCTTTATAGTTCTATTTGTTGGTTTTGTGATTTTTTTGTTCGTTTGTTTTTAGCAGTAAAGTTGTATCTTTTTGTTTAGCTACCTTACAGAATTTAGCTGAGACATTATGACTTATTTTTTATAGATGCTAGAATTCCATGGTGATCAAGATGGAGCCAGAAAGGTTCTTACCAATTATGCATATGATGAAAAGTTCCCATCAAATCCGAATGCCCACGTTTACTTGTACAACTTTCTAAAGAGAGAGAAGGCACCAAGAGCAAAACTGCTCAGTGTACTTAAGGTACAGGATTTTTATTTCAGTATTTGAATAGATTGGGAGTCTATGTTAAAATATTCTTAGGTCATTACTTTCCAACTTTCCTTTATGATAGTCATAGAAAATGACAATGTATGAAAGGTACATGAGGTCAGCAAGAACCTACTCCATCTGCAGACTCTAGGAGGATACCCCTGCTGCTGAGGAGATCAATGGTTCAGAAACCATTTCCTGCTCTAGTGGGAAACTCTGCAACTGTACTAAATTTAATGTATATATATAAGTGTATTTCAGGTATATACTTGCATGTATTTTTTATAAGTATATCCATCAGTGTAACCACCGATTTCAAGATTTCAAGATCAAGATTTCACTATAGTGTGTAATACTGCTGTGAAGATTGATGTACAAGTATTTGATTCCATGCTTTCAGTTCTTTTGGTTTTAGGGTTGGGATTACTGGATAATCTGATAGTCCTTTGTTTAACCTTTTCATAAATCACTGAACTTTTCCACAGCAGCTGTGTGTGCTATTTTATATTCCCACAAACCATGCTTGAGAATTACTGTGTTTCTACATGCCTGTCAATACTTCATATTTTCCCCTTTTCTTTTAGCTAATAGAGATCCTAGTGGATATAAAGGAGTATCTCCTTGTAGGTTTATGTTTCCCTAATGGCTAGTGATGATTTTACATCTTTTCATGTGGTTATTGGCCATTTGTTTATCATCTTTGGGGGTTTTATTTTGATTTTTATGTGTTTTTTTGGCAGTACTGGGAGTTGAACTCAGGGTCACATGCTCTTGCTAGATAGGTACTATGTCCCTGGCCAATTTGTTTATCATCTTGGAAGATGTTTTGGTTTAAGTCCTTTGGTTTTTTAAAAATTGGATTGTTTATTTTTTTGTGTGTTAAATTATGGGAGTTCTTTCTCCCCCTACCCCTCCATCCCTCCTCTCCTCTCTCCTCTCTCTCTTCTCTTTTATCTTTTTGGTGCTGTGGGTGAATCAGGGCTTCCAAGCATGCTGACATGTTATACTACTGCGGTCTCTGTTGAAGTTCTTTATGTATTTAGTGGTTCATATTAAATTAGGTTTTGTTTGTTTGTTTTGCTCTTGAGAGAGAGTCTTGGTGTGTAGCTAGGTTGGTCTCAAACTCAGTCCTCCTGCCTCAGCCTTCTGAGTACTTGGATATAGGCAATGAACTACCAAGGCTGGCTGTAATAATGCTGTTTAGAGGAGGAAGAAGGAAAAAAAACCCTTTCAACCTAAACTTCTCACTAAGAGAAGTTCTTCCTTGTTGATCTTGTAAAAGATCAAATAGCCCTAATCTATACTTTAATGTTCATTAAAATCTACATTAAACCTTCAGATGTAAAAATTATATTTGATAAAACTTTTAGTGGGCTTTGTTTTACCAAAAGCATAGTACTTTTAAAGCTGCTATTTTAGGGCTGGAGGTACGGCTCAAGCAGTGGAGTGCCTGCTTTGCAAGTGAAAAGCCCTGGGTTCAAACTCTAGTCCCACCAAAAAAAAAAAAATTTGCTATTTTAACTTTGTCCTAAAAACTTAATAGATGGGTTTAGTAGATTGAATATAGCAAAAGAGAGGATTAATGTAATGAATACAAAATGCCAGGCCAAAGCACAGAATGCACAAAGGGTGAAAGGTGCAGAAAAGATTGTATTAGGACAGAGATCAGGAGGACCATGGTTGGAAGCCAGCCCGATCAAATAGTTCTGGAGACCCTGTCTTGAAAAATCGCATCACAAAAATAGGGCTGGTGGAGTGGCTCAAGGTGAGGGCCCTGAGTTCAAATGCCAGTACCAAAATAAGATTGTATCAGTGACTTGTGGAAAGGTTTCACATATTTGTAATTGGAATCCCAGAGAGAAGAAGGAGAAATGGGGCAAAAGCAAACAAACAAATAAAACAAGAAATTTGAAGAACTAATGGCTAAGGATTTCCTAAAACTGATGAAAAACTTCTAGAGTGCTGGTGATGTCCTATTATGTGATCCAATGCTGGTTACCGAATGTGTTACATTTCATGAAAATTTATTGAATGTTGCACATGATTTGTATGCCATTCTACTACATATATTTTCATAAAAGTTTTTAAGCCATTCAGTATTCTATAAATCATGAGAAAATGATTATTGGTTATGTTGATCTTTATATTGAGATTAATTTGACCTTTTACAAACTATTAAGAAGAATTAACAAGATTTACTTTTCATTTTGTTGGAAATTATTTCAGTATAATTTCAGAGTATCCCCAGAAAACAGACAGAATAAATATTTTTAATACATGTTGAAGTGAGAAATAATTTTAATTTAAATCCTGTGTTTTTGCATATTCTTAAAAATATTCCTTCCTATTCTTAAAAAGTAAAACCTTTGAACTTCTCCGTATTGTGTAAAAGCTTTGTTAAAGTACTTACTCTTAGTGGACTGTGTTCCTGAGTATACTTTCTAGAATTGCTGTTCATGCCTTTTTAAAGTTTTTGGTTTATATACACTGATTTATCCTATAACTATTTTTATGCATGTTTTTTTTCAATCCTTGTATCTAAAAATAAATACTGTAAGTTTTTAAGTATGGTAAACAGAATAAATATGTATAAGACACAAAATGTTACCATCTATTTTCCCTAATAGTTCTGACTATCTTAGTACCAGGAATTATTTTTTCATAGCTTTACAGAGAATACCTTTCTATACCCAATTGAACCTGGATAAAAACAAAGTGTCCTTTAAATCCATGATTCATTTACTGAGAGCATATTAGCCAGTAAGAGCTTTGTTTGGCAGCTGGGTATGGTGGGGCACACCTGTAATCACAGCACTTGGAAGGCAGTGGCAGAAGGATTGTGAGTTTGAAGCCAACCTGGTCTACATAGTGAGACTCTGTTTCGCTAAAACAAGAACCAAACTTTACTTGAAAATAAGCAGAGAGCTGCAAAATTTCTTTACCTTGTGTAAATTACAAATTATTCTTTCTTCCAGATTTTGCATGAACTTGTACCATCTCATAAACTGATGTTAGAATTCCATAAGTTACTTAGAAAATCAGGTAAATAATTTTTGTTTTATATCTCTTTGTGCAGATATGCTATAGACTAAGGATTAATGAACTATGAATCCAGGGGCCCAGTCTGCCCATCTCCTGTTTTTATGAATCAAGCTCAGTTGTACCCCATTTATTTATGTATTGTCCGTGGCTGCCTCTTGTATTATAATGACAGAGCTGTATAGTTGTGAGAGATGCAATATACCTCATGCTTTCTTGGCCATGTGGCCCGTTTCAGAAAAAGTTTGCCTACTCGTATAGAACCTTAAGCAAGGGAATATTTAGCAAGAGAGATGGCTTCAATTTACATAATTGACTCCATTTTAATCCTTATGGGACCTTAGCTCAGTATAGAAAAAGAGCTTACTCCTTGAAGGAAATCAGCTTGCCAAGCCAATTGATACCAAGATTGTGTAGGTCCCTGTCTTTAAGAAGAAGAAAAATATCAAAAATGCCCAAATAGGGCAGGTAGTTTAAGTAGTGTTCTCAGCAGCCTAGAAGTAGTGTAGTATTATCCATATTGAGATTAAACGCACCATCTTGACCTTGTTAGCATGAACTCTGTTACTGAATTCTTCATATTCATCATAGGAAAATGAGCATAATGAAGTGTTTTAAGCAGTAACCAACTAACAGGCTTACAATTCAGTAATATTTTATCAACTTTATATATCTTTTTAGCTCTGTGTACTTTTTCAATACCTTTTGTTAACTTGGATTATTGTGACACTTGCAGAAAAAGAAGAACACCATAAACTGGGTTTGGTGGTATTATTTCGCATCTTGGATTTTGCTGGATGCACTAAGAACATAACTGCTTGGAAATACTTGGCAAAATATCTGAGACAGATATTAATGGAGTAAGTAAGAAACAGCATTTATAACTAGATCATCACGAATAATATTTCCCCATGTCTTAGCTAATTTCTTTCAATTTTTAAATAATTTTTTGCTTATGTTTTTTGATTTCTTGAGGAAGGGATAGCTAAAGATTTTGGATTTCTTCTTCAAGAAGTTTTCTTCTGAGTACATCAGAAGCTAGGACATACAAAGTCATGAGTGTAACGTAAAAAAAAAATTCTGTCAGATAGTTTGTGTTCTCAACATAAGAACTACATCTTAAAAGGCCACTGTCAATTGGTTATCTAAAATTACACATCTAGTCATACTGTCATTAGTGCCACATTTTGAGTAAAAGAAAAGGAGGTGACCCTTACCATTTTTATTTTGTATGTGAGAAGGATGGGTATCACAAGTTTGTTTTATTTGTGTATTATACTCATTTTAGTTGGTTAGGAAATCCATTGTTAGTGAAAACTTGTTTCAGACTTCGGAATGAACTTGACCCTGTGTATAGGACAGTGCTGATTATAAGTGTTGTATATGTCTTAGTCCATTTGGGATGTCATAACAAAATACCATTAACTGGGTAGCTTTCCCTTAACAAAGTTATGCTTTTTTTTTTTTTTGGTGGGACTGGGATTTGAACTAGGGCTTCATACTTGCAAAGCAGATATGAGCAGCATATCTTTTGAGCCACACCTCCAGTTCAAGGTCTTAAAAGTTCTGGAGGCTGGGCAGTCCAAGGTGAAGAAGGCAGCAGATTTGTTGTCTGATGAGGACCAGCTTCCTGGTTCATATGGGGTACCTTCCTGCTGTGTCCTCACATGGTGGAAGAGAGAAAGGCAACTTTCCAGGGCTTCTTTTATAAGGGCACTAATATAATTCATGACTAAGCTCATATTCTAAACATTTCCCAGTGTCTCACCTCCTAGTACCATAATAATGGTGACTAGGTTTTTACATGTGAATTCCAGGAGGAGACAAACATTCAGACCATAGCAATGTGGTATGATAGTACATTTCATTGTAAGCCATTTTGTAAATCTACAATACTGTTTAACCCTTACTAGACCATAGGGTTCTTGATGGTCAGGAAATGTACAATTCATTTTTCGAATCTGTAAGTTCTACACAGGGCATGGTGGTGCTAAATGTGTATTTACTCAAATGAACACTTAGCTTGCCTCAGTTCACTTCTCAAGCTCATGTGTTTATACAATAATAGCATCTGAACTTGAACAGTAATTCTTGGTAGTATATGATTTTATGTAAGTTTTTAAAGTAACTTTTAAGTTATTATTACAGCTAACATTTATTGAACATTTGCTGTGTATCCCACATCATGCTTTATGTGAGACCTCTATACTACTGGCCTTATTTAATCCCAATAACAATACCATGAAATAGGTAACATTTTTTTTCTTTAAGGAAGTTGAAGTTCAGAGAGGTTAAGCAACTTTCCCAGTTGGTAAATGCAAGTCCTGAGGTTTAAACCAGGATTTTAATCAATGTCCATGTTGTCAACCACTCTGCTGTAATGAACTGACTGTTAAGTGTACATGGAATATGGAGATTAAAGGTAACAAAAAAGGATTACTGTCATACTACTGGAAATCATGTGCTATGCCATGACCACAGTCAGAAGTTAGTTTGGAGGCCTCTTATCATCTTCCCACAGACTAGTCAAACTCAAATTCTGACTGTACAGATTTGTCCCTATCACTGATCTTCCCTTTTGACGTTTCTCTTTTCTAGAAATCATCTTGCATGGGTTCAAGAAGAGTGGAACTCCAGGAAAAATTGGTGGCCAATCTTTCACTTCAGCTACTTTTGGGCAAAAAGTGATTGGAAGGAAGATAGAGAACTGGCTTGTGAGAAAGCTTTTGTAGCTGGGATACTGTTAGGGAAAGGTACGTGTTTTTGTTTTCTTTTTTTATCTTGACATAGGTTTTGGCTGATTTTGAAATTACAAAGTATGACCATTCATTCATCTTAGAGCTTACTTACTGTGGTGTCTATGGATTCTAGATATTTGAGGAAGTAACTACTGAATGGAAGAATGAAACCTGAGTTTGCACCAGGTGATGTGCTTATAAGGGTCCCATAGTTTGGAAAGAGTGGTTTCTTGTTGTTTGTGGTTGGTTTTCATGCTCTGGCTTGATTGTTGTTCGGGGTCATTAAGATACACAATATTATATTTTCATAACAAATAACCATTGACCTGCTTATAGACGATCTATCAAGATTCTCTACTTTATTTAAAAGACAAAAATGTTCTTTAATGATCTTATTGTTCTTAACTACCTCCATATTATATTTACTTACCTGCCTCTGTAAGGAGGAAATATCTTTTCTTCTTAAGAGAAAGAACACCTCTTATTAACTTATTAACAGTCCCCTTAAGCTGAACCTGTAAGCTCTAGCTACTTGGGAGGCTGAGATCAAGAGAACCATGGTTCCAGGCCAGCCTGGACAAAAAAAAAAAAAGTTGAGACCCATTTCAACCAAAGGCTGGGCACAGTGGTGCGCCTGTATTCCCAGCTACTGCAGAAAGCATAAAATAGGAAGATCATGGTCCAAGCTGGTCGGAGCAAAAAGTGAGACTATCACAAAATGGCCAGAGCAAAAAGGGCCAGAGGTATGGCTCACACAGTAGAGTGCCTGCCTAACAAGAATAAAGCTCTGTGTTCAAACCTCCAGTACCACCCCCCAAAAAAGTCCCCTTAAAAGAGAAGTTGATCTTTTCTTTTTAGCCAGTAAGCCTCTTCACTTAATCTTGGCCAAAAGTCTGAGAAGCAATCAGCCAATACCTATTGTACCACTGAAATATGAAAAGGTGGCCAGTAGTGAAAAAAACTGACACAGAATATGTTCAGAAGATAATGAACCTTATAATGACCACTAGTAAGCCAAGTGTTGCTGGGGAGTGCAAGGTGTCCTAAAGAGATTCTTCACTTTGGGTTATGACTTGTTTTATTTTGAACTTAATATTATCAGTGTATATTTCAGGTAGTTACTAAGATTGATAAAATGTTGGGTTTTGTGGGAAGAAAGGGATTAATAAAAAGTAATTGAAAGATTGCTAATACTGTTGACAAGGAACAGAAATGTGATTTGTATTGTTATTTTCTATACTAGAGTTATTGATAATTCTGAGCTATTCTAGCATCATTATGCTTGAAAATAGGCACAGCTCTTCTGTCAGGGTGTTAATGTGGAGTGAGCCTATTCAGGAACTGAACTGGGTTTTCTTCTTTTGCTTACCTTCCTAAGATTCAAGTTCTGGTCATGGTCTGCTTTCACTTTGTGCTTAGAGTGGGATGTGGTAGCTGTCCTTCCCATGCTGTGTGAAAAACAAACCAGGCCCTTTCTCCTCAGAAGAGCCTTTCTTTCTTGGAACTCAACTACTTGGTTACATTGCTACTTTAGCTCTCTGGTGGGTTCAAAGAGAGTTAATATTTTGTAGCTTATTTAGATTTTTTGTTGTTTTTTTGTTAGGGAAAGAGTGATGTTCTTTCCAGTATTTACCTGTATAGAAAGCAGAAATTTGGTAGAAGCAGAAATCTGCATATAAAATATTTTGTTTTTACTAGAGTGATATGATATTAGCGCATAAGTCCAAGCTATTTAGGAAGCTTTAGGTGTGCATATCACTTGAGCCCACAAGTTGAAGACCAGCCTGGGAAACATGGCAACACCCTATAAATCAGTGAATGCATGCATGCATGCATGAATGAAGGAATGAATAGAAGACTACAAACTATATTAGTAACAACAGAGATACCAATACTTGCTTCCCAGGTAGTAAAATAGCTTTAAAGTGTCAGGTTTGCATTTTTGTTACAGAAATTCATTTTTCTGAAATATTTGACAGATGGTCTTTGCATTGTAAGACTATGAAGAGCAGGTAGAACTTATGTCTAGCACTAGATACCTTTGTCAGAGCTAAATGATCTTCAGGCTAGCTTTTTAGAAGACTAGCTTAGCTTACTAGAAGGCTGGAATTTAAATCAGCTTCTGTGCTGATTTAAATTCCCTGCACCATGATTTTCTGCAGACAACTTTCTTACTGTGATAGATGCCTCTGTAAGCTGATTTACAGACTAATATTGAGAGGGAAGTTATAGTAATTTGCTTTTGGAGAAGAGAAGATTCATTTAATGTATGAATACATATAATATATGTATCACCATAACTGGGGTTTAGGGGGAAGAGTAGAAAACATGTGAAATATATGCCTTAATTATGATCATAAGCATCTTCCTATGTAGTAATATATTTCATTGGTGACAGCTCTTAGAATATGCTTAGGTCATATCAGTATATATAATACAAATAAATTTATTTTTATAATCATTAGTATGACAGAGTTAAAGCAAAAGTTTTAAAATATAGAAGTATTCTTTAAAAATTTTAAAAGTATTAAAACTTTCTGCTTATTTTTTAGGTTGTAGATATTTTCGGTATATTTTAAAACAAGATGATCAAGTCTTAAGGAAGAAAATTAAGCAGATCAAGAAATCAGTGAAAAAATACAGTGTTGTAAGTCCAGGAGTCTGATATTTATTTATTTTGTAGTTGTAGCTACAGAGTCATAGCTCAGTAGTTATTGAATGTATTTATGTGATGTTTTATTGGTTGTATACTTATAAAAATTATTTTTGTATTTATATTTCCTTTTATTATCACTTGCTTTCACTTTTTGTAAATTATTTTTTGTAACATTAGTATATAGCTTTTTCTAAGGAATGATTCTTCAAATAAAGTTTTTTTTAGAGAATATAGCTCTGTAGCAGTTACTGTTTACAGATAACTTGCCTTTGACTGTTTTGTAAGAAAATAAAACTTTGTGGTGCTGCAAAACAAATTTGTATTCTTCTTTTAGATTCTAATTGACCCATGTTAGAGTTACTATCATGCAGAAAAATATGGGTGATGAGTTGTGTTGGGGAATTTTGGAAAGAGATGGATTGCACAAATGGACTCCTCCTTTTCTTTTGGTATTAAGACATGGTCCCTCTCTGGGGAGGGACCTTTGACTGATTGGGGTCAGAAAGGTAGAGAGGGTTGACTACTTTTAGCTAGCACTAGCCTAATCTTAAAAGGCCCTATGTTTTGGTGTCACCTGGTACAGCAATCTAAGTCATGCGTTAGAACTTATGTGCCCCCTCTTCTTTTGTCTTGGAAACTAGAATGCAACTAGTAGCTAGTGGGAGAATCTCTACCAGTGAAATAGTGTTTCAGAGTCACTCAGTGTCCCTCTAGTGGGACAGATTGGCCAGAAGCCAATAACAGCTTTGCAGGAGCTTGAACTGGGCTCTAACATGTTGTGATAACCGGAGAGTAAGTCCTTTAAAAATGCCTTGGCTCTTACACATATATTATTCAACTAGCTAGTAGTTCAGTTCCATGAAGGCTCACTCCAGATTAACCCTAATATTTAGATAGCAAACCACACATTTCTCTCATTGGCTTACATTCCTACTTATTTTAAATCATGTAAAAAGATTGGGGAATGTATTATCCTTTGCCCATAATTTATATCTCAGTATTGTTTTGTATTTACTTTAAAAAGGTCTAACAACAAAGTGTCCAACCTTATAATGTATACATAAAGCAAGTGACTGTTCCATAGAGCCAGAATAAACCAGGTTAAATCTCCACTGAATAGGACTAGCTTTACTAGTAGATGGGAGTAGATGATTGGATTGTATAGGAGTTCTGTGTAAGACTAACATTAAAGGAATGAAACTCCCAGATGATGTGAACAAAATCTCACAGCATAGGTCAGTATCGCCCAGGCATCCCCTTCCTGAAACCTTTAGTCAAAAGCTGTCATACAGGACTTAAAGTTCTCATGATATCTTAGAGGGAAGAATGAGAGAAGGTTGAGTAGCTGTGGTTCTTGGTTTCCACACAAAACTTTTTTTTTCCTAGAATTTTTATATCAAATGTTCCTGCCTGATTTTTCAGTAAGAGCAGTGTGATTCAACACTTGTGGAAATTATATTAAATCTGAAGTTAAAACCAGTTCCATGAGTCATAACAATGGCCAAGATTGATCAAGCACTTTGGGCTTTCATTTTATATCACCACAGTGTTTCTGTGAATTACCCTGTCTTGCCAAGAAGGTTAGTGAGGTCCTCAGAGATAAAGTAACTAGCTGAGATCACAGCTGGTAGATGTTGGCCCCAGTCTCCCAACCCAATCTTGTGGTTCTGAAGATCACATTCAGGTATTACCTAGATTGCCTTTTGTCTGTGAGTTCTTACCACATGCTGAGCACTCACCTAGGTAGCAGGAAAAAACAGAGGAGATTCATAACCAAAGGCCGTTGGCACAAGAACATCTTGTCCTCCCTCTCCCAGGTTTTTGGTAGTCTCCCTGTTGTGTGTCTTCAGGGGTCCCTGTATAGTCACTTACCAAACAACCATAGTGTTTAATTATTTTTCTACCTCTGTCTCTCTCACTAATGTGTTATCTTTACTTAAGTATCTCCACCACTTAAAAGAATTTCTAGCTTAGAAAGTAATGTCTTGGCAAGTTTATGCCACTGTAGGGCCTTGGGAGACTGCTGAATTTTGATCCTGAGATTTTCATTTGGTAGTTCTGTGACTTGGGCAAGTTACTAAATGCTCACTCTGGTTTTCTTCTCTTTGGATTGCTATGTAGAATAAAAGAAGTATAATGCCTTAGGATAATTAATGATGAATAAATGTTAACTGCTAAGTAACTATCCATCACAATTATGTCACCACACTTTAAATAACAGGAACTAAGAGTTTTAAGTCTTCTTGCTTAAAAATCTGAAAAAAAAGATATATATAATATGCAGCTTGATGTTTTGATATATATACATTGTGAAATAATCACCACAATCAAGCTGATTAATATATTTATTACCTCTGCAGTTACCATTTTGTGTGAGAAGATTTAAGATCTATCTTTTTAGCAAATTGCAAGTGTGCAATACACTATTAAACTATCATTGGGTCTTCAGAAATTATTCATCTTGTATAAGTAAAACTTTGTACAATTTGGTTAACATCCCTTTCTCCAGCCCCTAGCAGCCACCATTCTAGTTTCTGCTTCTATGAGTTTAGCTCTTAGATTCTACATACAAGATCGTGCAGCATTTTCTTTGTTTCTTACTTTGTCAGCATCATGTCCTCCACTTTCATCTATGTTGGTGCAAATGCTGGCATTACCTTATTTCTTATGGCTGAATAATATACATAGATCTCATTTTTATCTTTATCCATTAATCTACTCAGGAACATTTAGGTTGTTTCCTTACTTTGGCTTTTGTGAATAATGCTGTAGTGAACATAGGAATGCAGTATCATTTGTCCTGATTTCAATTCCTTTGAATATATACTCAGATTTTTTGAGGGGTGGGACTGGGGTTTGAACTCAAGAGACTCATGCTTGCAAAGCAGGCACTCTCCCACTTGAGCCACACCTCTAGCCCATTTGCTCTGGTTATTTTGGAGATGGAGTCTCACAAACTCTTTATCTAGTCTGAAGTAGCTAGGATTACAGGCATGAGCCACCAGTGCCCAGCTCTGTTTTTAATTTTTGAAGAACCCACATGCTATTTTTAGTAATGGGCATGCCCATTTACTTTTCCATCAGAAGTATACAAGGGTTTCTTTTTTCCCCACATCACACCAACACTTGTTTTGTCCTTTTGATAACAGCCACTCACTCACCAGAAATGAGGTGCGATTACCTATGGTTTTGATTTTCATTTCTGTGATGGCAAGATGTTGAGCAACTTTTCATACACCTTTTAGCCATTTGAATTTCTTCCTTTGAAGAATATCTAGTTTTCCCCATCTTCAAATCAGGTTATTTGTATTTTTGGTATTCAGTTGTCTGAGTTCCTCTTATTTTGGATGTTAACTCCTTATTGGATGAATTGTATGATATGTGCATTATATCTCATCTCAGTAATGCTGTTACCACAGCCTCCTCAAAAAGATAAACTTCCATGGAGTCAGAAAAGACTGACTTCAAATCCAGCATGGCCAAAACACCACATCTAATGCAGCCTCACCTTTATTCTGTAAGACAGGGTGATCTGAGAAAGGCAGATATTAAGTGCTTAGAATGGGTCCTGGTGTATGGTTTTTCTCAAACATACCATTCATGTTTGGTGTGTGTGGGGGTATTACTGGGGCCTTGCACTCATTAGGCAAGGCACTCTACCCCTTGACCCTCACCCTCCACCCCCTAGCCTTGTTTTCTTTAGTTATCTTTTTTTTTTTTTTTTTTAGATAGGGTCTTCTGTTTTTGCCAGGGGCTAGTCTTGGATTATGATCCTCCTACCCATGCCTTCTGAGTAGCTGGGATTACAAGTATGTAACACCCACCATGCCTAGCCATACCATTCTTTAATAAAAGAGTAGGTACACACTTTGGAGCCAGTTAATTATATTTATAGAACAAGGACTTTTCCTGTTGGATTGACTTAGAATGTTTATATTTTAAATATTCCAAAAGGAAATAAGCTAGACTTGATAAACACAATTTACAAATGATATGACTTAACAGCTTTTGAATAATTTTTAAAATGAATACAGACTATTCCTCTTTCCAAGATACATGCTCTTAAAAGAAACAATCATTTAAAAAAACTTAGCCACCAAATAAAAGTCTATTCTTACTCAGCCTTACAAAAAATAAGGAGCACAGACTGTGTTGTCTTCATAGATATGAAGGTAGCCTTGAACTGAGTGACTAGAGGCAGGTCTTTATTTCCATGTCATCAGCTCCACAATGGTACCACCACCAGTTGTTTGTTTACAATTCCCATCCTGCCTATACCAAAATCAGTATAACTGAATTTTCAGTCAGCGTGCTCTTCAGTATGCTGTCTGCATCTTGACATATTTTTTTTTAAATGAAGAACAAGTAAAAGTTCTGTACTTTTGTTCTTTATGGATTTATCATGAAGGAATGAGAATGAACTGAGCTATAATTCAGAACACCTGAGTTTTAATTGCCATTTCCCATTTACCTAACGTAGGATTCTTGAGTATTTCACTGAACCTCCTTAATTCTATTCACTTGTTCTACACACTGGTAATGTCTGCCTTGCTTACCTAAGAAATTTGTGTTGACCAAATGACAGGTGAGAAAATACTGCATAAACTGGTGCATAGTACTGAAACCGGAGTTTTAAGTGCTATTTGTTCCCCCCAGGAACAAATATATTACCTACAGGTATCTAGAGATCCCACAGTTTCATTCTGGAAGGAAACAAAAGGGAGAACCCTATCAAAATTTTGGGAGCCAAGGTTCATGCAGTGTTCCCTTAGGGTGACAGGGTTGGTACATCAGAACTGAGATTAGGATAAGTGATGTGAATTGAGTTTGATGGAATGTTAGCAAACCTAGAATACCACTGAAGTATAACCTGGAAGACTGAGAAGGATGTATTCAAAGGATATTATTTTCCTGAGGTCTTTTTAAGTAGAATACTAACATGTTGGCACCTGAAGACTGTCAGAATAACAGAGAGAGGAAATGTTGGGATGAGA